GTCATGCCGCATGTACGTCAGATATGCACTTTTTTTAGGGCAAAGGCCGGTAAAAAAATAACACAGCAAGGTGATTTTTTTTCATGAGTTTGTATTCCTTATAAAAGTAGCATAAATTTATTCATTTGTTGTTTTGTTCTGTGAAATGTTATCTCCGTTATATAAGTTTATCTCAGGGTAGGTTACTTCAGTAGCTTTTCATATAACAGAAATATATATCTGATACTTTTGTATTCCTGAGAGAGAAAGATGTATCTTAATGTACAAAAATAATTAAATAAGATATAAAAACGTTAAGCTCAATTTGTGTTTTGTTACTGTTTCGGTAATTTCCAGCAAACCCTTACAAACGGTGGTTACCATATCCAGTTATTTATTAACAATAGAAATTAAGTAAATACACACATATATTTCAATCATGTTTGTTTATGGTAAGTCATATGGTAATTTGTGTCCACGTTCATAACTGGATATTCAAAGCAATCGTTAAAATTAAATACAGTTTCTAATTTCAAATATCGGAGTTTTGAGTCCGATCAGAAAAACGAATCACAATTACTACTTGAAAGTATAAAATAGCCGACATATAGTGAGTGACATAATATTAATATTATGAACGTAGTCGAGAGATAGGATTTATCAAAACCATTTGCTTGTCGGAGGAATTGTTTATGATAAAAAGCGCTACCGTCCATATTCTTTCCAATAAATAAAGATTTTTTTTTTTACACTAGTCCCGATAATTCGCCAGTTTTGTTTCCTTTTTCTTATCTTAAGTGTTTATCATAATTACTTCTCTAAAAAATGTGTAACTATTTTTGAGATAACTAATACTTATGTTTTGTTTGTCTTTTAAGCACAAACTACACAGTGGGCTATCTGTGCTGTGCTCATCGCAGGCAGAGAAATCCGACTTTTAGTGTTAGAAGTCCTCTGACATACCACTGAGCCACCAGAGGACACATAATACTTAATGAGATTTGAACAACATTAACAATCAATGATTTTTAAACATTATGAACACAAGGGTGGATAAAATGTAACAATTTCATAATTTCGAACGATAAGCATACTTAGAGACGAATTTATTTTGAAAACATTTGGATACGTGAATTTGTGTCAATGTTTAAAACTAATTAACACATTTCAGCATTCTATAAACACTGATACATTTTTTAAATGAGAGAAATTTAACAACTAGTTTAGTAACATATATATATTGAAGTTTCATAATAAATTGGCTTTATTAGCTTCTAAATGCAAGAGTTTTCTGTAAACCTTTTACATTATTGTTAATCTAGTCATAATAAATTGGCTTTATTAGCTTCTAAATGCTAGAGATTAACAATAATGTAAAAGGTTTACAGAAAACTCTTGCATTTAGAAGCTAATAAAGCCAATTTATTATGACTAGATTAACAATAATGTAAAAGGTTTACAGAAAACTCTTGTTATAATAAATTGGCTTTATTAGTTTCTAAATGCAAGAGTTTTCTGTAAACCTTTTACATTATTGTTAATCTCTAGTTATAATAAATTGGCTTTATTAGCTTCTAAATGCAAGTTTTCTGTAAACCTTTTACATTATTGTTAATCTCTAGTTATAATAAATTGGCTTTATTAGCTTCTAAATGCAAGAGTTTACTGTAAACCTTTTACATTATTGTTAATCTCTAGTCATAATAAATTGGCTTTATTAGCTTCTAAATGCAAGAGTTTTCTGTAAACCTTTTACATCATTGTTAATCTCTTGTTATTATTAGCAGTTAGTGAAAAACTACAGTAAATGGAACAAACTGTCAGAAGTCGTGATACTAGAAAACTAATTTGACAAATTCGTTCGTCCTCTTCGGTCTCACGTTCTCTTCCGATGACAACTTGAGATTAAAAAGGAAACATGAATGTATCGAAACTAGTTTCTACAATATCAAGACTTCTGACAGTTAGCTCCATTTACTGTGATCTTACATCAAACAAAATTATGTTTCAAAATGCGAAATATATATATGTAAATGTTCCATATTTTAAAGACATATCATTCTGGATTACCGTGTGCCAGTTCGTGCTCCATTTTACTTTTTTTAAATCAGTTTGGCTCCAATAATTGTTCGTGACTTCACTTACCCACTTCAAAGCAAAGCAGTTAGAAGAGTCTGGTTAATCGCTTTGCACATTACAAATTATTTTGTTGTTGGAAGCTGTCCCTCTCTCTCTGCTGACTTCTTTGTGGACCCTATGAAGGTCATTTGGTCGAAAATATTGGCTTTTTTTTTTCTTATACTTGCAGTTTCAGACTTTATCAAGATGTAGATACTTTTTATTTGTCAATATTACATATTAAGTATTCGGACTACTTCTTAATCACACACAAGTCAGCCGGTGGCTCAGTGGTAGGCTTGAGGGCTTAAAACGCTAAAATTAAAGATTCAATCCCTGCGGTGAGCACAGCATATAGAGCTGTTGTGCAATTTTGTGCTTAACGTCAAACAAAACAAATTGTTTAAAGTCGAATGCTAGTGTCCCCCGGTAGCTCAGCAGTTCGATCCTCGCGAAGAACAAAGCTATTGTGTATCAATCCGCTAAAGAGAAAAAAAAACAATAATCGAAAACTATTTTTTATATTCGACTATTTGTCTCGACTGTTTAGGGCCACGGAATTCAGCTATATGAAAACGGAGAAAGATACGACGGAGAATGGCAAAGGGGACGTCGTCACGGATGGGGAAGGATGTTGTATTTTGATGCTAGTGTATATGAAGGCGAATGGGAAGATGATGCAAGGAGTGGACTAGGTCTCCTCAGATTTGGTGAGTGATTTGAAATATCCCAATGTATTGAGAAATAAATTAAATTATAAGATTTCTTACAACTATAAAGGACGAACTAGTTTAAAAAGTCTATGGAAATAATATTAACAGCATTTTTTTTTTTTGACACACCAGACAAAACTCAGCTTAAAACATAAAACAATTTAATTTACAAAACTGGTTTAAAACTTGACATACGTTTCTCTACAGTCTAGTGTCTTCCTCAGTGGATATTTGTGTTGTGGATAATAATTATAGGTGATTAAATACGCTTACGGTAGTAGCACGTGATGTTCTGGTGCTCAAGTTGTACTGGTACCTCTATTCATGTGATTTCTGTTTCCTAGGAGACGCTATGATTCGTGAAAAATACATTGAAATTTTTTGTTATTGGGTTTGGTATAACTTTACTATTTTCCAGTTGGGAATGTGATGTTGTGTAAGAACGTGCTGTGCAAAGCCTAAAGTATCGATCCGGCAAAATTTAATATAATTTGTTTGTCCTTTAAATTGAATGCGTGTATTTAATGATCAACACATTTTTTTCACAGTAGATTTCATTATATTTTTCATACGGAATTTTATATACACTGCTGAATCTGTTTTCGGGTTAATTAAGGTATGACTTTAATTTGCACGATGTTGATAAACAGTTCTAGTATTAACTATAAGTGTCTTGTTTGTTTGTAGTTAAGCACAAAGCTACACAATGCGCTACCCGGTTTCTAGCGTTGTAAGTCCGCAGACATACCGCTGTGCCACTGGTGGGGGCTTAAGTGTCTTTTAACCTTTTCATATATTTCTTCTATATGAAGGCTCACTGTAGTTGCAGCAGGTTTTCAAATCCAGTAAAAACAACTTCCCATTATAATCGATTGCAGCAGGTTTTCAAATCCAGTAAAAACAGCATCCCATTATGATCTATTGCAGCAGGTTTTCAAATCCAGTAAAAATAACATCCCATTATAATCTATTGTGCAGGTTTTCAAATCCAGTAAAAACGGCATTCCATTATAATCTATTGCTGCAGGTTTTCAAATCCAGTAAAAACGGCATCCCATTATAATCTATTGCTGCTGCAATAGATTATAATGGGATGCTGTTTTTACTGGATTTGAAACCTGCTAGGTTTCAAATCCAGTAAAAATAACATCCCATTATAATCGATTGCAGCAGGTTTTCAAATCCAGTAAAAACAACATCCCATTATAATCGATTGCTGCACGTTTTCAAATCAAATAAAAACAACATCCCATTATTCGATGACGAGGAACCCACTTTGAGACTAATAATGGCTGGAGATGGTTTAAATGGGTAATGAAGAAAACTTTAATATAAGCTTAACATAACAGCAAATGTACGTTTCGACAAGGTTTTATCGTACCTGATGATAACAAAACTTTGTCGAAACGTTGTACATTTGCTGTTATGTTAAACTTATATTGAAGTTTTTCTTCATTACCCATTCAAGCGGTCTCCAGCCATTATTAACATCCCATTATATTCGATTGGCAGTTTCATCAATTCACCCACATATAACTTTTCCAAACACCTAACAGGTCCATTATGCTCCTTGGTTTGTATGGTCAGTACCAAATATAAAAATAGTTTGGAACAATATTTATATATGAAAACAAATAAATGACATCGCATTGGTTTCGCGCCTTTTACTGGTACTCGAATGGTTGCGAGTTCCAAAAGCCTTGTCGGTAGTGGATAGGCAGATGTACTGTGGTTGACATATCATACTTTGCTTTTACTCGCAATTTCTTAGAAATTCTTATGGTTGCACCTGTATTGGTTTTGTAGAAAACCATAAATTTAATTTTTTTAAAAAGAAGAGAGGCAATCGTTAAGAGCTTTCAGCCGTCATCTTCCCCACTACATACAAGTACAGTGAAATAGCTATTAAAGTTTCCAATATTCGTTTAATTGAGATATAAAAATATCAATGTTACACGGAGATGTTTTCAAACCTACTAAGTTCTGTGTATAATAGTTTCACATTACGTTCAGAAATCGTCTTTCGGGAATCAGGCTAAGCAGAATGCTTTGTTCTTTCATAATTCGGTAGTGAATTACTGGTGAAATATAGGTGACAGCTCAAGTATAGACAGTAAGTGCTTGACAAGACTAACACAGACGGTATATTAAAGGGGTGTTACATGCCAGGAAATAAGATTCCAAATACACAAGGTAAAGATTAGAATAACACTTTAGCTGAAATGCACGCGGAGAAGAAATACTGAAGAAGTCACCATTTCCCCATCACATTTATTAATAAGTTAACTAATATTAATGATGAATATAGGTGTAGGAGGCAAACTAAAAGTGGGGGGCAAGGTTTATTTGACCTAGCGAAGAGAGGGAACGTGCGCCAAAGGTGCACCCATTACGACTGGGGTCCAGGGTTCGGCTTAGGGCCCTGGAAGTTCTCTGGTTCTGTATTAAATTTTATTCTACTTTTCCTGTGAGTGATTTTCCTAATTTTCATGCATTTTTACTGGCGAGCCTAACAAACTCACACGAGACAACAGACAGACCACCACAGTGGACAACAGTCTTAGTCTTTAATATTCTGGGTTTGATAACCCAATAACATCAGGACTACACTTAAAAACAGAGTCAACTTAGCAGCTAAATGTAGACCAGTGTGATAAAAATAAACCATTACCGATCCTAGATTTAAAGTAAAGTTTCGTTTTTGTTGCTTGTACTTCTCTTGGGCGTTTATAATCTACATTTCACTGTGACGGATATTTCATAGCCAATGGGAACAGGCACGAAGGCTGCTGGAGAGATGATAAAAGGAACGGATCAGGTATCTACTTCTTTATGGACACTGCACAGGTCATGCAAGGAATGTGGGTGGATGACATATTTCGGTGTGGGACAATAAAGGATGTGGCACGTGAAAAGGCCCCGAAACCAACAGCCCTTCCAATCCCCGAGGTATAAAAATCTTTATAATGTTCAATCCATAACGTTTTAAGAATATTCATTTGCAGTTTGAATAGGAAAGTTTTCACCAGCTTTTACGTTCTGATCATTAATATTTATATTTTATTAAATGAAATATCCATAACCTGAAAAAATAATGAATATTAAACGATAATGAGAGTTATTCTGATGCTTCTGTAGCTGTATTATCCATCTTCATGTGGATGTATCCATTTATTTAACTGTTTACTACGGATTGGTGTAAGATTATGAAGATTCCATGCAATAGCAGCATAGCCTAATTTATATCATACACTCATATTTTAGCGTTCCCTGTTCATAAAACGTCTATGGTAATAGAGTGTTTAAAATGTTTTTCTGTGTCACAGACAGAGACAAATATAAGCTTCTTCATCAATATATGTGTACAAATGAACACGTTTAAGCCGTGTTTTTTTAGTTGTGGTAGAACTAGCCATTTTACTACGTCATTTCCTCCAAAACTCAGTGATAACACTATCACGTAAACTAGCCCATAAAATGTAATACTGCTACACACTTTCATAAAAAAAACAAAAAACAAGGTTTCCGGCCATTCGCTTAGTTTGGAACTTCTCATCTCGTGTCATTAAAGTAAAGATGTTACGAAAATCAACTTGTCTGGTTTATTGTAGAGGCTTCTTACTGTTAAGATATCTGTATATTGTATTCAAGTGCGTTTCGTTTTCTTTTTATTATTTATTTACTTTTTGTTGTATTTTAAGCCCAATCTATATTTATATAACGTTTAAAACGTGACCATGCAGTTCATTGTGTAGCTTTGTGCTTTACAACAAAAACAAGCAAAAAATCTACTGCTATACTTATTATGGGGTTTTAACAATATTTTTACGTTGCCATGCTTGTAATTGTTTTTAGGGTTCTTTATCCAACTATACCGTAAATACACTGATTTTTTTCCTTATTGTAATTTATCAATACCAGTTTCGTCTAGATCAATGTATCATGATACTAATAAATTTAGTTCATGATAGATGATGTTTTTGTTTTCACGATTTGAACACTTCATTACTCTACTAAAATCCACGATTTTTTTTTATTTAACATCTTTTTTAAAAATTTGCGATTGAAGAATTACCTAAGTTGATCAACAGATAATGAGATTAATTAAATATTAAGTAGCCCTCTACCGGTAGAAGCAAAGTAAAACACATAAAACAACAACAAATATTCCTACAATTTTATATACTACTTTACGGTCGTCACAGCTGAATTTTGTATTGATATTTTGTGAAATATTTGATCCTAAGATAAGTATGGACATATCAAAGAATAATAAGTCTTAGAAGAAAAGGGCTCGTTGGAAGTGGTGATAAAACTACTTTCAATGTAGAAAAAATACAAACAATTAATGAATACACATATCTAATTATATAGTTATCAGTCATCTATTATACTATGTAATAACTAATGTTTCCCAAATACAAGCTAGAAACCTTTGTGCTTACTTACGTAAAAATAGGTTATAAAATGAGAGCTTTAACATAGAAAGTAATGCTTTAATTGTTTGACTAGTTGAGGTTTAGGCCATATGGATTTAGAAGTAGTTGAAAAGCTACAGTTTTCTGTCTGTAATATCTGTAGAGGAGTAAGTAAAAGAAGTTATTACAGCTGATATTTGGAGGATTGCAATCAGCAGTAGGATAAAATTTACAAACTGTGTGTTATTCTTGTTTGTTTGTTGGACTTTGCGCAACGCTTTGCGAGGGTTATATGTGTCAGCTGTCTTTAAATGTGTAATGATAGATTATAAGAAAAGTAGCTAGTCATCACCACCCACTGCCAACTACTGGGCTACTCTTTTACCAACGAATAGTGGGGTTGACCGT